ACAATATTTTTAGTTTGAACTGGCAAATCGAAAATCAGATTACCGATGGACATTTTTATTTCGTTAACGACGTTTCGAATGTTTCTATCATTCATTATCAAGTTAAAAGGCGCATTGAGTGATGAAATTANTGGAGCGAAACCTCAAAACTAAACCTCTCGAAAAAGATGGCTTAACCTGTTAGTCCGGTTAAAGTTCCTCGCCGTATTAAAACCTGATGCATATTTTTCTCTGATGTACCAGTTTAACTTGCCACCGTTGACTTAAAATAACACATCGGCTAAGTCTGCGGGTGTCCTGCGCGATATGTTCTACTTGGGTTAACCTGCTACCCGCATTAACCTGCCACTTTTGGTTAGCCAAGACTAGTCAATCAACATTCCGAGCAATGCCTCATTAATCTGATAGTTAGTTATACTTTCTATCACATGTAAATAACTCAACATAAGGAGTCAATAACTCAACATATGGTGTCAATAACCATATGTTGGTAACTTATTAATTGACAAGTTATCAATGAGTCGGTTGAAGTATAGCGGTGGTGCAGGTTCTAACCTTGGGCTGACTTTGACCTTTACATGGCGTAGCAACATGCTACTCCTTCGTTATATTCTGCCTGGCTGTTGTATTGGTCGCACGTCTGGCAGGCTGACGATCGCTCGCCAGGATACTGACCCCAAGCGCCGGTATTCATGAATATTCAAGAATATTCAGGAATATTCGGGAATATTAAGTAATAATCCAAGAATATAATGATATTATTATGATTGTAAGTAATATCGTTCTTGCATTGTTTCACTGCACTGATATTCTCTATTAATTGATTCATTAAATGTCAGGATTTTCTTTGATTATTGTAACGGGTAATATCTTCGTGCGTTTAGCGTTCCCTTTAAAAGGAAGTGTTGTCATTACTTTTATCGAATCATAGGATGTAAATAGCAATCATTTGGTAATATGTTAGAATAAATGGTATAATTTAAATATGGCTGTAATTTTAACTCTCTATACTCCGTAGATGTAACAAATAATTTAATGAACTTAACCGAGCAATAGACGGCGAGATTTTGTGAGTAACAGAGGGCGAGATGACATGATTTTGCGTCTAAGTTTTTTTACAAAGAATTTTAAAAATATGGCACAACCGCGATAAAAAATACCTCTTATTCTGCGAGAAAAACAGTTTTTTTTCATCAAGAAACATAATATGCAAATAATATTGATAAAAGAAATCAAAGATGTTCAAGACTAGACTAATATTTAAAGGATCTTATCACAAACAGGATTTCAGCCTGTAGATTAATATTGGAATTATTTAAGCTGTGAAGTTCTAATGGTTCAGGTGCATAACGGTATTTGAATATCAATGAAAAAACATAATTGTTCGCGAATTAATTTCTTTGGAAAAAGTGGAAAGTTAAGGTATCAAGTTAGAATTGCTACAAAACGCGAGTCTGTAAAAAAGCGTCAACTGACATTAATAAAAATTTTGAATTGATAATTGGCTAGTGCTGCATTAAAATATTACCGGTATTACTATTATGACTGATCAATAAAAAGTTTAAAGTTATTATGCTTTCTGAATTAAACTCACATTTTCTGCATAAAATTCATTAATCGCAATTATAAAATAAATTATGTATTTTCAGTCGCCGTAAGTACCTGTAGCAGATGTTGCAGATGTAGACAGGCGAATGTAGCACTTATATAAGACACGTCTGCAGCTGCAGCTGAGGAGGGTATGAAGCTGTGGGCAGGCGAATGCAGCGCTTATATAGACGCAGCTGAACTGCAAAGATGTGCCTAAAAAATAACGCTGAGGCTGAAGCGATTTTTTCCGGACACGTGGCGCTTTCTTCGGTACAATATTCGTATTGTGCTTGAAGCTTGAACACATTCTGGGTGAAATTGAGCAAAAAATTATATATATTATATTGCATTTTTTTATAAGTTTTACTTCTCTGATAATTTTTCTGCTTTTGCAGTTTACTTCTGCTTTTGTGAAAGTTTGCTCCAATTTTTATGCAAATCTTCTATCAAAAGTGTATCGTTTTTGCTAAAAAATTAGTTCGAAATATTATTATTTAAAACGTATTTAAGATCATGTCAACATCTGATAATTAATATCTATTAGACAGATTATATAGCAGAGCTTAACTCATCCCGACGCCTACTATATTTACGTATGTTCCAAATATAGAGCTCTAATTTTTATTAGAAATTCATTTAACTGTCATTTCTAGTCTCGTTATCACCCTTTTGGAATTTTGAAGGCTTCACCAGGAAAATTTGCATTCAATTTCCCCAATAAAGCATTATTCAGATCGTGGTAATTGGTTCACTTGCATGCAATATTTATTTATTACGCATTTCATAGTATATTACGCCTTCTCGGCCGGACTCTAGTTAGTTAAATAATATAGGTGAATGTAAGCAAGGATACGTAAGTGAATGTATGCAAGGGTATGTACGATTATTGGACAAGAAATTTCCACTAATAATGGTCTATAGTAAAAGCATGTGACACTGTAATTTAATCAATATAATCTTACTTCATTCTGGATCCCTTGTGAATCAAGTCACGATAAGTACACGAATCGGCAACAGGCCATGGGCCTATTTCTTCAGTGCCGACANTTAAATGAGAAATTCATTGTACATCTGTAAGATTGGAGATACTGGATTCTTTGGAAGTGTTGTCTTTAAAAAGTAATTTTTAAACGTATATTATTTCATTTATGGAAAAATGCACAATTGTGCTCGCCATGTCCGTCTGTCCGTCCGTCTGTCCGTCTGTCCGTCCGTCCGTGACCTCAAGTTTTCGTCGACGAGAAAATGCGCTCTCTGTCACTCACTGCTGTGAGTACTGAGTTGTATTTTTATTAACTTTAAAGGCCACAAATTCTTGTTTAGACGTCATTATGATTCTATTGAATTATTGTGAATTTATCCACGAATGAAATTTTTATTAGTTAATTCTCATAAAATAAAAGTTTATGTTGTTGTGACATCATCTTGATAAATTCACCTTTATCGGCTCCTATGCTTTCTTCGATTATCTTCAAACTGGCATTCAACTGGCTGCTAAATGCATTTAATACTCCATTATTAAATACAAGAAGTTATCCAAGGTATCCTCCTGTCTTATGTCATCCTCTTTATTTCCTAAGCTCATTTACCAGCCTCTGATGTTTGTCACCAAATTTCCTATCAATTTCCCTGTTATTTTCCTACCAATTTAAAGATCAGAAATTCAGTATTTTTTGTTGAATTAAGCTGGTTACATTCATGCAGCCAATGATCCTGAGGGGTCACTGCCCCACAAGAGGCGCCCTGAAGGGCACCCACCCTCGGGCGAACGAGCACTCGGAGGAATGAGCGAAACTTTGTCTTTAAATTGACAGACATTCTGATTTGTGTTGCTCATTCTGACACAGTTTGGTCAGGCAAAAAGAGCGTATCAGTGCTACGTGAAGTAAATATTTCATTATTTAGACAACATATCCCAGTGAGGGCTCCGTGTCCGAGATAGGGTGGGACGGAGATGAGGAACGAATAAAGACGAACAGAGTGAATGCATAAATAAATACAATTAATAAAGTAGCAGCGAACAGTGAAAATTACAAAAGAAATGTAGAGTGTTACAGAGGGAAACAAAATTGTGTACTTTGAAGCTAAGGAGGACAAATGAAAGATAATAAACGATAATTGATGAATGTGTTACAAAGTTATGTTGTGGCACGGAAATGACCGTAATAACGAGATATAAAGAAAGTAAAGAGTGTAAAATATGTCGATATAGAAGAATCGTATAAGGAAAATCGATAAGCGATTGACGATCTAGAAGATGATAATTTACACGGTCAACGTCGTGCAGGCTACAAAAAAGGCGCATTTTTGGAAAAGAAAAATTAAAAAATAAAATATACCAAAAATAAGCAGCGTGAATAATACTATCGACCTGTGTATGTGTATTCCACAGTAATTGTGAAATCGTGCAGTAAAGCACAAATTCGACATATAAAACGTAATGGAATATTGACAAATAAAAAAATAAAGACCAAAAAACGACAAACAATGATCCTGGTTGATGTTTCTAAAACAAATCGATCGCCTTTGGTCGGCCATCTCTTTGCCGTCGGATTTTGTCTTAAAAGATCTCAACTCCATGACGATCACCAGTTTCATGACTTATACATGCAAGAAAAAACATGAACCATAGCATAGAATTTCACCTCTTCTAAAACTGGTTTCCTGTTCATTTGAGGTCGGGCGAACTGTTAACTCCAGGTTTTGTGCTAAATTGGCTGGGCTTGTGCATTAAATATGTCAGTGTAAAAAATTCACTTCAAAATATGCTGTTGATTTAGGTCTGATCCGACTTTCGTTCCGGCCAAACAAGGATTTTGTTTTCACCATTTTTTGAACAGTTTTCTAAATGTTTACCGGGTTTGTCCTTTATTAATTCGTTTATTCGTGTGGTGCGTTGCTTGAAAAAATTGTATTATTCTTGTTGCCCTCATACATCGTGGAAGTGAAGTGCTATTTCGAATCTTAACAATTTTAATAACATTGAGCAATTAAATAACTTCAGTCTCGGATGTCAATGTGTATAACCATACCGTTTTAGCTTTGCTTCATTGTTTTTAAATGTTATTAAACATATTGCGTTAAATTCACTTTACCAGTAATTGCGTGACAAATGCTATATACTGTAAAGCGTTATGAAGAGCCTGTTTGCAGGCGGTTCCCGGAGTGCATTTGACTCGGATGTGCTCAGTCAGTTGCTACAAAGGTGTCATCACTTTAGAACATGCGTACAATTTCAATATCACTTAAAACTATATTCTTATTTAATATTCTATAAAGAAATTATAAATAATCTGGATGCACTGCCCCACCCATGCACCACCTGCATTCAAGTCGAGTATTTCTAAGGTTTTTGCCAGGCTATGGGTGCATTGGATATGAGGTCGTAGCAAGTATCAGGTTTGTCGCTATAAAAGACCTCCGCTCCGCTGCCGGCGCACCATAACTGCACTGCGACCTGCAGAGGTTACTTGTCATCCAATTCAGGTGAGAGCAGACGCTAGATTTAGGAAATTTTGCTCGTCTTAAATGTATGCGGTATGGGCATTCATCCAGGACAGTTTCCTGTGAATAACACAGTTTCCTATTGGAAATTTTCACTCTAAGGTTTGACTGCTTTACGTTGGAGGTACTACCTTCTTTTCTATAATATTGAATAGTATGAAATATTTAACAAGAAATAATTCATGAACATATAGAAAAATAATGCAGCGGTAAAGATGCTGATTTTAAGATTGATGATAGCCGTAACTTTTGAAATTTTTCGACAATTTTCATTTTACTGTACTCGTGATGAAAAGCTCCAATCATCTCAGTTCTAATCATGAAAATTTCATGATTAGAACTGTGATTATGTTTGGGGAATTTTTTCTTTTAGTGTAATTTTTATAGTTACAAATTAATTTTTTTTAATTCATCGTAAGAAATACGTGGCTCTGGACATCGGTCATCGTTTGGCAACATCCAAACTTTTCGCCATTAGAAATGCAAAAATTGCCCAAGAAATATGAACCCACAGATATTTTAGTAGAAAATATCGTTCAGGATATTAGCAAATTATATGAACACATTTATTAAATTGATAATTGGAATCATTTCTTCCTACGCCATTAATTTATTATGGCCAACGTTTACACATCCCTCGTGCCGCTATTTCCTTTTAACGTAATTACTTGATATCTGATTCCACTTTCTTCAACACTTCTCTTTAACTTCATTTCTTGTTTGTCTGTTTGTCTGTCTGTCTGCTACAAATTTTGTAATCGAAATTTAATACACTTCTATTTATCCTATCGATCTGAAATTTCGCACACTTTCGTAAAGTTGGGGAAAATGCATGAATCAAATGACAAAATAAATAATTTTAGGAATACATATTTTTAATATTAAAAATTTAAAAAATAATAATTTTGTCAGCTACCTACAAATCTTATAATTGATATTTGACACACTTTTACCTGTCCAATTGATCTGAAAATTTGCACACGTGTGTGAAGTCGGAGGCAATGAATGAATCAATTGACAGAATAAAAAATTTTGAAAACATTTTTTTATATATAAAAAATTGAAAATTTAATTTTTCTATTATTCGATAATAAAATGAGAAATTCCTTTGTACATCTTTAACATTGGAGACAATTGATTCTTTTAAGTTTTGTCTTTGAAAAGTAATTTTTGTACGTATATTATTTTATTGTCTCTTCCTTAACTGCACATGGTTTATATTAAACTCTTTGAAAATATTGCTGAATTCAACGTAACACGTGCTGAAAATATTGCTGAATTCAGCGTTCGTAATCCTCATTATTTTCTCTGGCAGAATGAAGGCTACTTTGCTGCTTGTGGCAGCCGTTGGCTTGGCTGTTCCAATCAGGTCATTTGAAGTCAAAGTCGTCGGCGATGAAAATCAAGGAATTTTCACGAAAATAATTAAGGACGACCCAGGATCAACGAGCAACGTCGCACCGTATAGTTCAGATGCAGAACCAACTTTCTACGACGCGCAGGGCAGACAGTCTAACCGGAGACTTCAAACGCAGAGTGGTAGTTACCTAGAACAACCAAATCGATACCAGAACCAATTTAGCTCCGGAAATCAATTCAATTTTGGCAAAAATAATTTCCAGCCTCAAGGCAATCGACTTACTTCCGGGTTCTCTTCTCACCAAGTCAAGTATGACAATTTTGGAAACCCCATCAGACATCAATTTGGCACTCAAAACCAATTCACTCAACCTTCCGGTGGTAGATTCTCAGGGAATCAATTCACAACAGCTCAACAGCAAAACGCACAGTTTGGAAATACTTTTAAACAAAATCAGATAGCTTCTGGACTCCTAAGTGGCCAACCATTTGGTAACACCTTCAGTCCTACCAACCAGCAGTTTAGTTTCCCTCAAAATCAAGCCGCAGGTGTTCAGGGCTCCACCCCATTCGTAGGTCAGCAGGCAGCCATTCTTTCTGCTCAGCAGCATGCGTTGTCTGGAAGTCGTTTCCAACATCAACATACGGGACTCTCTGCTCAGACAGGAGCTGGTAGCTCGTTCGCGCAGCTGCCCTCAGGCCAGTTCGGGCAATCGCAACCATCAAGTCAATTCGCTGGGCCCACTACCAGCCAATTTGCTCAGCCAAGCCAATTTGGTCAACCAAGCCAATTTGGTCAACCGAGCCCATTTGCTCAACCGAACCAATTTGCTCAACCAAGCCAATTTGCTCAACCGAGTCAATTTGCTCAACCGAGCCAATTTGCACAGCAAAGCCAATTTGCTCAGCCATTTGGACAGCAACAACCTAGTCAATTCGGAAGCACACTAACTGGCCAGAACGCGCAGTCAAACCAATTTCCCCGAACATTCAGTCCATTCGGTCAACAAGCATCAAACCAATTGAGCCAAGCCCCGTTTAGAGCCCAAAACTCTAGCCCAATACGTCAGGTCAACCAATTCAATCAAAGAGACAATCCGTTTGGAAACCAGCCTCTTGGACTCCAGCCGGGGTCTCCTTCTTTCGGCAACCAGTTCAGCCAACAAGCAAATTTCCAGAGCTCGGGAGTCCCTCTAGCAGGAAGCAGCATCGCTGGTCAGCAACAGGCTGCGCCCTTTGGAAGCGTTCAGCAGCCGAATAATTTTGCGGGATGAAGCCGTCCTTAATTACTCTCCGTTAATCACTTAGAATTAAGCATTAATTACTTTCCAAAGCGGAAGAATGTCATCATAAAATTCGGGCTGTAAAAGACTGCGTAGAATTGATCAAAAGTGGGTTACCCTCAAGAAAACTAATCATAAACCTTTGTACCATTTATATTTTCCTGCAATTCTATTTAATTTACTCACTTGAGAATATAAAAGTTTGTTCATAAATTTTAGAGTATAAAATCGCGCTCAACATCAAAAACACTGAGCTCGACAAAGTAGAAAGGAGCGTTATAATTTTCGACTTGTATACTATTGATCAAAATGAATTTATTACCTAATAATAACCTATTTATTTATTTGTAAGGAGAGATCAAAGTGTAAGGTTCAACTGTAATAAAATATTCGGGTTTTTAGAACCGATTTACAGCTTTTAGATCAACACTAGAAAAATCAAGTAATTATTTTCCAGCCCAACAACTTATTAGAACTTAACTCATCATCAATACGGAACAGAACCAATATATACACGAAAATGATCTAAAAAAAGATCAACACAAAATTCAAGACCAACCCATAGACGATGTCGTGATCGAAGTAAAGTAAACATGAACAAATTTCATAATTATAAAAGTAGATTGGTTGGAAACGAATTTCTGTTGTGGTTGTGAGAAAAATAAAATATTAAGCCACCCATTAAAGTACAATAAAAGCAGAATCTGTTGGTATATTTTATTATTTTAAACCCCTGCTGGATGTCAACGCTGTGTTAGTTCCAAGCATTTGATCAACACCTGGAGAATTAAACTGCGCGAAATTACACACTTGCATGAAAGCGGGATTCATAGCTAAGAAAGTACTTGTTAAAAAATATAACTCAGTACTCACTGCAGTGAGTGACAAAGAGTGCATTTTCTCGTCGACGAAAACTTGAGGTCACGGACAGACGGACGGACAGACAGACAGATAGACGGACATGGCGAGCACAATAGTGCATTTATTTCATAAATGAGAAAATGTGCTAAAAATTTGAGTTTTATTTTTACAAGCCGGATGGCCGAGTTCTGCCAAATATATTTACTTAGACAAATATTTTACTTAGACAAATGCGCAAGCTTGGTGTCTGTATACAAAAAGAAGTCCATAAATATTCGAATATTTAAAAAATACGGAATATGGTTAGGTTAGGTTAGGTTAAAATAAAGCTATATAATACTAAATTTTATTGAGAAAACATGTAGATGACGCTATTCTTATTCCGAAATCACATTAATAAAACCATGATTTTGAGTGCGGCTTCAAAGGTCATGGTTCAATGGCCCTGGTCAGCTCAGCGCAACCGCCTCCAGCAACGTCCGCAAATTCCGGTTTCTTAGATTTATTTTCTCGAGCAAAACTCGGATTTTAATGCGGTTAAGTTGGGGTGTGGATTTGAATGGACAGCTTCAATATAAAGTAAGACATATCAGGTAGCGACTCTTAAACTGCACTTTATATGAATAATAATTGAGGTTGAGTGAAGCGCAAAGAAAATAGCGATCAAATCCTTTAAAACAGCATTTTTTGTTTATTTTTATTTAAAGTGGCACTTTTATTATTTAATACCATTAAGTAAAATCTAAAGGCTTTATCAATAAATGTAGCGGTAGCGCTGCAGCGGCAAAACTTCGTATCGCTACTTAAATATGTAGCGGGCGCTACCGCTGCCGCTACATTGCCTTAAATGTAGCGCCGCTACCGCTACTGAAAATGTAGCGGCCGCTGGTAGCGGTCGCTACATGTAGCGCGCTACTGCCCACCTCTGAATATCGCGAAATGTGTGCCTTTAAAAAGTTTATGTTTGTGGGTTCAGGTTGAATGGTCTCATCGCTAGTAGTTTGAATGTATATTTTGGGAGAACGCAGCCGTGCACCACCAATTTTGTGCATCAATCACCCTGAATGGAACACCTCAGTGCATGGTAATGCCTATTAATGTCGTCCCCAATTTTTCCTTTGTTTCACCTCCATCTCATCGTCTTCTTATTTATTTCTCACTAATCCTCCACATATGCTGGAAATTTTGCTGCTCCCGGAAGAACGTAGGAGCAGGCCATGTAAATTATTTTCATGATTAACTTCCGTTTCAGTATGTTTGAAAAACTTTAAACCATGGAAAACTAAACATGCTAATCCCATGGACGTATTTACGAACAATTTTAAAACGTTGCTTCCACGTTTTCTCATATTTTAATATTTATTGAGTTGTACCTTTCCGCCCCTCGTTGCATGTTCAGTTTCTGAATTTGATCTTGCCCTCATTTCTTACTAGTTAAGCCTGCTTTTCTGTCATCCCGGACACTTCCCTTCACCCCACTCCACTGGCGTCTAATTTGGGAGTGGCCAAGGAAGTACGAGTCACCGGAACGAAAAGTTCAATGCTCGGAGCCACAATATGACCAGTGTTATACGATGGCATTGTCTCCGGTGCTTTGCATTTTGTTTGATAAGTATTGCGCTCGAGCATTGACCTGTGTTACACAGCTATTGTATCCGAGGTCTGGCTCGTTTCATGAACATTGTACCAGAGGTCTGGCTAGTTTCATAAATACTGTACCCGAGCTCTGACTCAATTTATAAATAATGTACCCAAACTTAGATTTTTTTCGATAGGAGCAAACAAGAAAACAATTTCCGTTACCACCCAATACTTATAATTCATACTATTTGAAACGTAAATAGATTAATATGCCTAGAGCTACAATTATATGTATACTTCAAATCAATTCATACCTAAATAGGATAGTTACGTGTAAAAAAATTTTAAATCAACCAATAGCCAATAAAGATATTACAAGAATAGGTATCATTTTAATTAATTATGATAACTTTTTTTACATTGTGAACGACGCGGTCGCGGCAATAAGAAGTAAATTGAAGTTAGAATGAATAAATTGAATGTATCATATAGAAAATTTCAAAAGATACAGAGAGTAATGCAGTGATCCAAATCATTACAAGACAAAGGAAAGTAATTCATACTTCCCAGATGGTAGACTTTTCACCTTCTTGCGAATAATTATTCCAACTGTCACTTGGGCGTAAATGAATGAAATAACATATGTTAAATACGGCCAAAAATTTCTTATTAAACGGAAATATTTTTTTCTTCATCTTTAAAATTCCTTCCTACATGGAAACATTTTTTAAGAAGGATTGTTAGAACGAAGGAATAGTTGAGCATTTGATTCGAGAATTTCACATTTAAAAGTAGGATGTTTTTCATTCGAACCCAAGTTTACAATTTTACTTGCGGTCGTACCATATCCTGCGGTACTTCCAACGCAGGAAACCAAAATGCTAACGCATGACAGGAAATGTGTGAGTTGAAGAACACAAGTATGAGTAAGAAGGAATATAAATGTTTCTCTTAACATTACATTACTTTTACTGTGCACAAGGCACTGCATACACATCGCCGGTACTATTCACACTATGTCGTCTTTATTTTTCTTACTACATCTCCTGTATTGCACACGCTACTTCGCCTTTACTGTGCTCACTACATTGCCTTTTCAGCGCATACCCACCGCATCGTCTTTACAGAGAAAATGTTGCAACATAAGTAACCTAGGTACATTTCATTGCTTATCTACCCAGTTTTGAATATTTAATTTTTAATGAAAATGTTAAATTTAAATCTGACATCATTCTTGATTGAAAACCTGTAATGGATATAACCAAAAAGTTTTCAGGGTGAGGGGATGAAACCTTTAAATTTTATCTTACACATTGATACGCTGGTACACTCAAAACCCAAAGATTTTAGTTATGTATAAATGCTGATGGTCAAGACAGTGCCACCAGATGGACAAGACGGTGCGGTTTGACGGTCAATTCTCTCTTTATTCTTGTCCTAATTTTTTAGCAAACTTGGATTTGGGAGGAGAAAATCCTGCCGAGCCAGAGCCTGATCCTGCAGCTCCAAATCCACTATTTGAATTTGGTCCTGATTGGTCGAAGCCGAATCCAGGTTGGTCTCCAAACCCTCCACTGGTCTGACCTCCAAATCCGGCCGAGGATTGTCCGCCGCCAAAGCCAGAAGTCTGTCCGTCAAATCCACTACTTGGTAACTGCCCTCCTGCAGGCGCTCCACTAAATCCACTTCCTCCAGCAGGTGGTCCACCAAATCCACTTCCTCCAGCAGGTGGTCCACCAAATCCACTTCCTCCTGCAGGTGGTCCACCAAATCCACTTCCCAATGCAGACTGTCCACCAAATCCAGGTTGCTGGTTGTGGTTGGGAGCGTCAGGCAACCTCCCTGTGGCGGTTGAGTAAACATTTGAACCTGCAAGGAAACCTCCTAAGTTGTTGATGTTGGGAACCCCAACTTTGTAAACCAACGCTACCTCTTCCGAAGAATAGTCATGTAAATTATTAAACCGATTTTTGACGACATCGTCCAAATCATCAAGGTGATCATCATCGTAAAGCTCATCCGAATCGTCGGCGATGACGTAGGCTTGGGTGACAGCCCCCCTAGTGAACGCGTCGGAGGTGCGGACCATCATGGCGCACAACAGCCACGCCAACGCAACTCTGCAAATTTATTAGAAGAAATTAGAATTAGAAATTCAATTGGAAAAATTTTGCGTTAGGGAGGTGATCATCGGAGGAGGCTAACTTGATTATTGGTTTTGTGTGGCGCGGTGGAGTTGCACCGATGATGGGGTGGATTCAATTAGGATTATATTGAACTGCAGGAAAGTTAATTTTTTACGATGTGCGTGTCGAAGAAAATTAAATATCTAATTACACTTGAAAAATTTCGCACTTGTTATTATAACCAAATATTTTATTAATATGGATGTGTCATTTGATGATAATCGGAGCTTCCATTCATTAATAGAATCTACGTAAATACGAGCAAAGTTAAGTCAAATGCGGTTGATAAGCGGAATATGACAGGGTTGGGAGGGTTGGGTAAAAGAAAGTCAAATACCTTTGAAGGGTCTACTGAAAAAAAATAAATTACGATAAAAGTTGATGCGTCCATTTTTCAATGAGACTTGCGGAGAATAAATGATCGCTTGAACGTTATCCGAAATGGGAAAATAGATTGACCGATAATTAATAAATTTCTTGGTAAATAGGAATAACTCACATTTAGCTTCATTTGAGTAAAGTAGAAACCCAGACAGCAGATTGAATGAAATAAGAACTTCAAATTCTGATTAACTTTATTGCCTTGTGAGGAAGAGATAGAATTTAACATCTCTAGCAAAGTTATCAAGATGATTAATCCTACAACAATTGGTACGAGACGCAAAATTTGAAAGGGCAAAACCCCAGTAATATTAAGTTCGTGTTTCTCGAAATATTAAATTCAGAGTGCAATCAAGTAGATGAAAATTAATTAAAGTCATTCGTTATCTTCCCTTACCTGGCCATCTTGAAAGTTTGTGCTTCTCTTCCCTTTTATTTGAAATTCCTTAGTAATTGTACTTTTTTTATCGTCTATTGTTCTCTTCTCGTTCTTCTCGATGTTGCGAATTTTTTTGTTGCGTAATGCCCGTATGTGGGCAGAGCGTCCCCTCGTAATAATCGTCAATGTTCGATGCGCCCTTTTTCATAAACTTTTATCTTAGTTCTTCTTAGCGAAACAAATTTTCGTTTGTTGCTTTTTCACTGCACCGGTGTTTTTTTTAATATTTTTACTTCATAATATTTTTGTCTTAAGATCCTTCTAAGGGTAAAAAGTCCCTCGAATTTTTCGCTGAATCTTTGTCTTCTTGCCTCTTCTCTCCGATTTTACGAATGTCTAGCAGATTTTGAAATTCCTGCGATGAGTTTTCGTACAGAGCGAAGAACGATGTTTTTCCTTGGACTTGCGACGCTGGAGTGACCCTGAACTTGACAATCTCGGCCTTTATATCAGCTAGCATCGGTCCGTGACTTGATGAGTCATGCTACTGGGGATTCTTCAGTAGCCGGACTCTTTTATAAACGAATAAATTAACTCGGAAGGAATAGAATTACGTTTCTTTTGAAACAAATCCGTATCTTTAGGAAACAATATAAAGGGGTCAGAGGACATTACCATCTCGCCTTTATATAAGTTAGGACTCTTTTATAAACGAATAAATTAACTCGGAAGGAATAGAATTAGGCTTGTTTTGAAACGAATCCTTATCTTTAGAAAACAATATAAAGGGGTCAGAGGACATTACCATCTTGCCTTTATAAAAGTTAATGACAATGTTCACTGCACAAAATTGTTTTTATAGAATTATTTAATGTTTTGTTGTGAAAAACTGGATCATGATTATTTTAACAAACCTTCAGAGAATATTAGCAAAAATATATAAATAAATTTTACTGACGAAATTATCATTTTAACGATATCCTATACGGAATGCTTTTACAATTTAAAAATAGAAAATATTTGCTTATTGTTGTAGTCACTATTGAATAAATTTTGCTGCCATTATAAATTACTAAATTTCGGATCAATTTCTTTTGCCGCCGCCATTTCTATCTCCACGTCGGCGGTCATATATAATTTCGTTGGTTTTATACAAAACCGGACTCGTAAGTCCGGTTTTGCAATCAGTCGACACGCATCAATGCCGCGCTGAATTGTCATCAAATAATTACCAATTTATTCATTTATTTGCTGTCCTTACAACCTTGAGTGACATCGCAATCCATTGCCTTTTTTAGAGGATAATGAATTAACTTTTAATTAATTTAACTATGTTGCATCAGCGTCGGAAATATCCTCAGCAAACAGATGTTGAACTGCTTGGCCGTACAGCTGTTGTAGAGTGAAACTACGAGATAGGTACGATTTATTCACACAATACGTGTACGTTACGTGATTCTTTCTCGTGTACGTTAAGTGATTCAGTCACACCATACGTGTACGTTATATGATATTGTCACACAATATGTGTACGTTCAGTGATTCTGCTGTACAATACGTGCACGCTACCTGATTCAGCCGAGAAATACGTGTAGGTTGCTGGGTCTATCACGCAATACGGGTAATTTACGTGATTCTACCACGCAATTAATAAAATAAATACTCATGACATATATTTCCCCAGCTGTATTCCGGGGATTTCTAACAATATCATTACATTATCAGCGTCTCTTTCAGAATAATTTTCAATTTTATTCGAACAAATTTTTATAATGTCTTAATGTAACATTAATTATTAATTTATTTACTTTGAGTTCTGAAATTTTCATTTCTATGGTATGATTCAAGTTTTCTTGTCGAATAAGAAATGTCTTTCTTGAACTTACTAACTTTTAATGTTTCGACTGAAAACTTAAATTATATTTTTTGGTGGGCGTATTTTTAAAAACCTTCAGTAATTGGCTGACGGAGTCATGAACATGTAACTATTTTTTATATAGTACGGCCATCGGTATCCAGGAGCTGCAATCAAGCAACAACGACGAAGATTCCAAGTGACGAGGAAACAAGAACAACAAAAATCGGACAAGAAAAAAGTCCGCAAAATCCTCGTACCATGACGAACGCGGATCACCTTCAAAAGACCTCTAGCTTTGTTGCTAAATATCTACAGTAAATCCGAAGGAAGTCCGGCAGGTTTTTTCTTATAAAGTATAGTCGTAAAAATAGACTCTATTTGTTTCAAGACTCCTTGTGCTTGTTGAGAGCTGGAACTGCAGGCAATTATCTTAATAGTGGCAATGATTTTCTTAAATTAACTTAACGGAAGATGAAGAAGATTTCAATCAAAAATTAAAAGTAAATTACAATGATCTAGTTAAGAAAAGTTGAACTGAATAGGTTTTGCTATGGTTGGCTGAACCTAATTTTCATTACAATAATGAATCTAATTTTGATTACGGAAAATGAGTCTAATTTTGATTGTAGAAAGTGAATCTAAATTTAGTTACAGAAACTGAACACAATTTTGGTAACATAAGCTGAAACCAATTTCGATTGCGGTAATGAATCTTATTTTGATTGCGAAAATAAAATCTAATTTCGATTACTGAAACTGAATATGAATCCTATTTTTATTACCGAAACTGTATCTAATTTGAAAACAGATACTGAATCAAATTTTGGTCGCAGAAACTGAATCTAAGTTTGAATGTAGAAACTGAATCTAATATTTACCATAGTAATTAATCTACTTTTTATTAAAGAAACTAAAAATAATTCTAATTATATAAGCTGTATCTAATTTCGATTGCGTGTACTGAATTTTTTAGCGGCAACGTTAACTTGATCTAACGCAAAGCTAAAAAGTTTAAGTAGAATCAATGAATATGAGGTTTACTAAGCGATATCTTCAATAGACACCACATGCAATTCTATAAATTTAATTCAATTCGGGAAGCTTACACTGGATGAAATTGAAATTTTCGAAGATTTAATCACAATAGAAAACACCGAACAATCAATATTCTACAATATTATACAGTCGATATAAAAGATGATGTTTAAATGCGGTATTTTATTAATATGATATTATATATTTATAGCATTACAATGTTAACAAAAATATGTATATTATTGTAAACAATATGCGCCAATAAAAGAATCATTGAAATCATGTGCACAATAATACAATAATGTCATGGTCGTAAATTTAAAATTCAACAATTTTTTTACGTATAACTTGCATAACTAAATATTACTCAATATTTAAAAACTAAAAGATATAACTCAGTATTCACTGCAGTGAGTGACAGAGAGCGCCTTTTCTCGTCGACGAAAACGAACGTGGTCACGGACGGACGGACGGACATGACGAGCACAATAGCGCCTTTTTTCCATAAATGAAAAAATGCGCTGAAAACCACGCAAAAATTCTTAAGTTATAAATTATTTGAAAAAATGAAAAGGGCTTGTCAGAATATGGCGAACTTTTTGTAAACAAAATATTAAACATATTATATAAATAATCTATAATTATTTCCGATCTTGCTGAAAAAACTGGAGTTAAACGTCATACGGGAGCCATTATCAGCCGCCTCACGTACAGCGGATGTTTGATGCGTAATGCAACCTAAGTTTGTTATATCCGTCCATATTATACAGGTTTGTTATGTTCTTCATTATTATACAAGTTTTTTATATTCGTCCATATTCGTAGGTTGTTATATTCGGCCATTTTATGCAGATAGTTGCATTAAATAAGAGCGTAGATTGCATAAATGCAGTGCCCTACGTAGAATTTTTTTACATATATGCGATTTTCATTCATGAACAGATGTGTTTCATTTTTATTTTTATATAATGTTATATTATATAATATAAAATATAATATAATATAATAATATATGTGTGTGTGTTATATGTGTTATATAATATTTACTCATTATGTATAGAATATTATTCAATTTCTTATTGTTTCGTGAATAGTATTTGGACTTTCCGCTGATCATTTCTTCAGGAATTAAACAACTTATTTCTAATTGAAAAATGCTCGCAATTTATTCCAGAAGTAATAAAAAGTAACTTGATTTATTTATGTACAAACTACCTTTTGTTTGAAAATCTGTTTTCATTCAATTTATTTAGAAGCCTTTTGAGTTCTGCCGATGGTATTTCCTACTTAATTCAAAATTCTTTTGTGCGTAACTTTATATTGACAGAAAACAAAAATTTAAATTAATCTGATGAAAATATGCTCATGTTACCATTTGAATTGATCCATTATTGAAACATAATTTTCATTTATTATTTTTCGATTCAATTATGTGCATTATTTATGCCGTGAAGCTTTCGTGTTTCAACAATTTGAATTACCTCTTAAGACAAGAATAAAAAAAAAACAGAAAAAACAACGCTATTTTATTTGGGGAAAAAATCTTAACAAAAATAAAGCATTTTAAGATTTTGTTCCGTGCTGCCATGATAGCCTCACTTTGAAGAATGCATGGGTCACTTTGTCCAAATAGTGACTTACTTTCTTACCCAAAGCTCAAGCAGAGAGCGGACGTAGCACTAATACACCATTTTGCTGGGCTAAACTGGGTTAGGACGACCCACATAAGCTCAAGAAGTGAATCACCATTTGGAAAAAATATATAACTCAGTACTCAGAGCGCATTTTTTCGTCCATCCGTGACTGTCCGTCGCGGACGGATAGTCACGGACGGACATGACGAGCACATAGCGCCTTTTTTCCATAAATGAGAAAACGCGCTAAAAAGACCCTCATTTTTTTAGTACTCGCTACTGGCACGCACTATACTGTAGAATAAATGCCTCTTAGTGATAACAGAAATGGATTTTGGCTCAAAAAAAAACATTTCAAGATTCTCTTCTTTAAAAACTTCTTATCTCTAAATTAGTAAAACTTTGGAAGATCTCATGCCTGGAACAATGGCTGCGAGCTGCCCAAGCAAGCACGTTCAACCTTTATAACACAACCCATCATATTATAGAGAGAAATGTATCACATTTTTACTAGAGAATGCGTAATTCGTTGTTCGTAGCAAATGTTCTGTACGTTGCGAGAAGCTACTTCTGTAGCTCTGGGTTGATTTGTCATGGATAATATACTGGCAGGTTATAACAAAATGTTATGATAGTTCAACAATAAACAGAGTTAACACCTTACGCACATCTAGGTTATGTATTGTTTACTTGCGTTATATTACGTCTAACCACTAAAAATGATGAGTGTGCAGATGAAACGGTACTGAATTAATAGCAGAAGTAGATATTTGAAACTTTACATTTTAAATCCACAATCGTCAACAAAATCACAAAAGATATTTTTGAAAAATTCATCTAAATCTCCAGAAGATTTAAAAGGATTAGCACATCATTACTGGTTTTAAAATGTAAACAAAAATCTATTTACGTGCAATTTTAAAAATCTGTAGCTCCTATGGCAGCCTCACGATGAGCGTCACTTTAGATGCTTAAGATCCTTATTGGCAATCTATATTTGATTTATGAATCAAGTTATTACTATACGCAAATATCAATTCAACAACTGTCATAATCTTCGCGGGTAAATACTTTTACAATGAATGTATCAATGATCAAAGACGCTTACATCAGGGGCATCACCGAAGTTTGCCCCTGCGCTAAAAGTTGCTCGATCGGAGGGCGCAGAGTAGTCGTAACCTTGCAGGACTTCAGCCACATTGGTCTTGAATGTGGCTAAATCTTGTGGAACAGCCCCGGAAGATTCATCAACACCGATGAACTGCGGAGGTTCTTCATTGAATCCAACTCCTTCTGCCCTCTGGACCCCAAATGTGGGTTGGTTAGATTGAACGGGTTGAGGGGACTGCGATCCCGGTTGAGCCGCAAACCCTGAAGTCTGACCTGTGGTTTGAAACTGAGAACCAGAGGAAAGGGTAGCCGACTGACCAAAGAATGTGGGTTGCACTGGAGACGAGGAGCCCTGTGAGGTTGACACTCCACTTCCAGGCTGTTGTCCCGCCAGCGTTTGTTGTCCAAAAGTAGATGTCTGTCCTGTCAGCGACGGCTGTGCAAATGTAGATTGTTGTTGTCCAGCTAACGACGGCTGTGCAAATGTAGATTGTTGCCCAAATCCAGGTTGCTGTCCAGCTACCGACGGCTGTGCAAATGTAGATTGTTGCCCGAATCCAGGTTGCTGTCCAGCTACCGACGGCTGTGCAAATGTTGATTGTTGCCCGAATCCAGGTTGCTGTCCAGATACCGACGGCTGTGCAAATGTAGATTGTTGTCCGAATCCAGGTTGTTGTCCAGCTACCGACGGCTGTGCAAATGTAGATTGTAGCCCGAATCCAGGTTGCTGTCCAGCTACCGACGGCTGTGCAAATGTAGATTGTTGCCCAAATCCAGATTGCTGTCCAGCTACCGATGGCTGAGCAAATGTTGAATGTTGTCCGAATCCGGATTGTTGTCCTGCCACCGAGTGTTGAGCGAATGTAGATTGTTGTCCGAATCCGGGTGACTGGACGAGTGTAGGCTGCTCGGCGAACATAGGCTGTGTCCCGAAACCTTGTGTTTGTGCAGTGAAACTCGCCTGTTGCCCGAATGGAGTTGGTTTTCTGTTCGCAAATGTCTGACCTAATTGAGATAGCCCAAATGCAACCTGTTGCCCAATGACGGCAGGCTGTCCGAACGTGGCACCTTGTTGCCCTGTTACAGAAGGTTGCACAAATGACGATTGTCCTGCTGCTGTGGCCTGTCCGAATCCAGATGACCCGAATAGTGGAGACTGGCCATAATCTGATTGCTTAACAGCAAAATTCTGTCCAAAAACTGATTGCCCGACAGCACTAGGTTGACCGGCAAAGCTTTGGGAAAATGAGGGTTTTTGAGCCAAGGATCCTGGTTGCCCAATCAGTGGTTGAGACGCTCCAAATCTTTGACCTAAAGCTTGAGTTAGTCGGTGCGACAAAGAACTTTGTACCCCAGAAGCTATGCTGTTACTATCGTAAGCTGGAAAAACCTGGCCAAAATCTAACGATGCTAGAGTCCCTCTGACTGGAACACTAAATCCCTGTTGTGTTGAGGTGGGCCTTGTGACGTACTGAGGTGAGATAGCAGAGACCGAAGTGAAAGGGTAAACAGAAGAAATAGGTAGGGGGACTCCAACAGACGCCTGTTGTCCAGGCCTGGACTGGAATCCAGCTTGATTCTGGTCGATGCCCACGTAATATTGCTGCTGGCTGGCCGAAACCGGTTGCTTGTAACCGACAACTCCGCCGCCCTGTGCTGCCGCCGCCCCCAAATTATTGCTGGTGGAAAAACACACAAGTGTAAACAATGTTACCTTCAGCAGAGTAATGAAATAGAACAAAATAGCGTGGATGGAAAATAGAACTTATTTCATTTGTGGACGTGACGAGGATGCTAGAGTATTTGATGTTTCTGTTGCGAGCGGGTAATCCTACATTGGTGACAGTTTCAATTTGATATATGTAATGACTTCAATAAACATTCGAATAGAGGACGAATGCAGTATGGGAAAAGTATGATCAGGTCGGATTCACGACTACTTAATTGCCATAAATTTGAAGACCATTAATAGGATTATCAAATCATACTGTTAATGTTGGCGGATGTTTCAAATCAGAATTAAAATGTTAATATACTGCACAAACACCTTATTTGATCGCACTACACTCTTAATTGGCGAGATATTTAATTACATTAGACGACATATTATAAATATTGAAACACACGTCCTTATCAATAATTACCTTCAATACATATCATATGAAATTGATCCTTACCTCACTGATCCAACAGGCAAGACCTGTCGGAAATAATTCCCAGCATTGGCTCCAAAGGTCCCAGTTGGAGTCTCGAAAGCGAGCCGACTTGTGAAGGGAGCGCTGCGTTGTCCGAGCGCTGCAAACAGTGCCGGGAAGTACTGCCTGAGGGCGTGGTAAGTGCTCGTCGAGAAATACTGCGGCTGAGTGAAGCCTGGTACTACCATCTCCACTGGCTGTGGTTTAGATGGTTGCTCGGCTTCAGAGTAAACAGTGACCACGGGTTCCGGCTCCGACGCCAGCACCGTGATGACCTCGCCGGAATCCTCGGCAGAGTCATCGCCTCGGGCTGAGGTCCCCAGCAGGCAGATCAACAAGAGGGCAGTGGCAGTCTTCATTCTGGTGATGAAGGAGGAGTAGAAAGTTATGGTTGTCTTTAGGAGGAGTAGAAAGTTACGGTTGTAATTATCTGACAACCTAAATAATTATATCTTAGTGGCTTTGTACGTTAAAAGAGTGCGAGGAAACTGAAGCAGGCAGATCAACAAGAGGGCAGTGGCAGCCTTCATTCTGGTGATGAAGGAGGAGTAGAAAGTTATGGTTGTCGGATAATTATATCTTAGTGGCTTTGTAAGTTAAACGAGTGCGAGGAAACTGAACTTGAATATTCTCGGAAGTGCTTCAAGGAAACGATTATAATCGTTTTTCTTGGACGTAGTTAAAGCCATTTCATATTCTTGAAAACACAGAATCCAGTATTATTGTAAATTATTATAAGCTAATTTAGAGCAGGCATAAATTTGAAAGAGCAATGCAATAACTCACTTTCGAATGGAGCAACAGCGATCGAGAATCACTTTCGACCAAATTAGCAATTTCAGTATTTAACTCACGATGAATAACTACATTCATAACGCTGACTTCGTACCATCTTTGATTGAGTAATTCAATTCAGGGCACAAACCAAGCATCTCATTTAACCTCAAAAGATCACATTAAAGAAGAATTTGGATGAAGCATAAACCCTTGCTGGCCAGCGGCTAAAATCCACACCTTGATTAACGAGCAAGTATCACGATAACAAAAAATTTTGGTATTAAATTGGGTGGAGTTTATTAATGTTAGTCGTAAATTTATTAGAGCTAAAAATGCAGATAGTAAATTCATTCGAGTTTACAAGTGTTAGCATTAAATTCGATAGAGTTTACACATTTAAGGTAGTAAATAAGTTTGAGGTTACCTGCAGTTCAGCGTGGTATGTCCTCGATGTCACAGTCCGCATGCAATACGGACGCTTGAACAGGTTCCCCGAGCCTTATATACCTCTGACCTGCACCCCTGCTACGGCTACAGCGGCCACAAAGACCTCGTTAGCTCCATTACTTGTATGCTTCGTAATGCTTAGACTCTTGTCCTTTGTATTTATTAACATATATCTTTATATATGTTGCCCGACTCACATACATGGTTAAAAACAATTTTTGACTTCGAACAAATGATGCGTCGGACATTCACGTTTTTGTTGAATTTTTCTGCCAACGTGTGTTATGATTTTTTTATAAATCAGTAAATCTAAATCAAAAATATAAACTTTTTCTGCATTTTTAGACAGGGTTCTAGATGCTATACGTTGTGCTTGCTTGTCTAAACCAGACTCTTGTATGTTGTTGGATGTCACATTGCATGCAGGCAATTCTACATAAGAACACTAAACATAGGCTCCTCGGAGACGATCCCGCAGGCAAACTTTTTGCCCAGCAAAAGCCGGCTCCTGATGGCAGCAGAAGGCGTAAGACGCGCACAGTGAGTCAGCTTCTGCAGAGACAGAGCGAACTACGAGAATGTAAGCTGGTATTAATATGCATGTGATTATTAGGTGAAGTCTGTTGTGAACCTTAATCTTTTTTATAATTGAAATGAATATTTAAAAAACCTTTCATCTTAGATTCCAGGCTGAAGTTTTTAATTCGTCACTATAGTGGCAACAGATTTAACTTCATCTCTTGTGCAGTTTTTTTGGGAAGAACTTATTCTGGATCACAATTTTTTGCGAAATTTCACAAATATTACTCGACAGACTTGTTGATTACTTGCTATTATTTTTTGAACAAGTTTCCGAAACTAAAATGTTCCAGATTTGTTGCTTAACAGGCTTTCCAACCCAGAGAGAATAAATAATTAAAATATAATAATAATCATAAAAAATAACAATATGAATAACATATCAATGATAATTATAAAATTAACATAATAATTCAAAACATTTGTTAACGATTAAATTCAACCAATCTAGTTGTATTATCGCAAGCAATAATGAATCAACTACTTCTATTAAATTAATCAAATCATTATTATCACATCAAATGAAAAGCCTTGCTCAATAAGTTTTAGCGGTGTCAATTCGCATCAGGTAAAATTTTTTTTTTTCAAACGGTATGTTGGTCCATGAAAAAGAAAATTTCTATAAAACCACGAACGAGCGTGAAAAGTTTACTTATAGATGAATATTAAACCATGAATGGGAACCGCATCAGATTCAATTTACCGTTACAAACTGACCTAAAAAAAATAAGTGCATGCCAGATACTAGTTTTCATTGGGCATATCAAAAATATAAGTACTGGAGATTAAAGGCTGATATTGACGTCTCCACCGATAAGTTGCAGTTAAGGTTGGACAGTTAAATCTGGGGTTGGGAATATTTTACCATGAAGTATTTTTTCGTAGAAACCATTAAGGTGAAATTGACCGGAGGCTTGGCAGGAATAAATTTTCAGCTTGTCATAAATTCCGGATGCAGATTGCGCAACGAGGTCTGCTAAAATTTGAACGATTTCGTTGCGGTCAATTGCTTACTCTCTAACAATAGCCGATACATTTTCTCTACGATCACAACTGAATGCATTCTATGCAAGTCAGTTTGCCTGTTAAAAGATACCGACACAATTGGGCATTGATTGTGCGGTCACGGATGTGAGGTTATATAGATGCTTCGTAAGCTGTCTTTTGTTCCTTCACTGCTATGGGTCAGGCTCAAGAAACGGGAAACTTTTTAAGCACCTTATTTAAAAGCATATCTTTACGATACAAGATTTCATTAATATTAGTACAGTTTATTAGTACGCATGCTTCGTAAGTACCATAGAGCTCCATGTATATGTTTAATATTTTATGCTCATTTTTACGAAAATTGTTTCTTATATAAAGAAGTAATGAACTGTTTCATCAATAAAGTATCCAGAAGAATCCCTTCAATTTGAATTCTACCTTATTATGCCATCAATTCATTTCGATCTAATTGGTCCAAGCCATTTTTTAAACATAACTAAATAAAAACTCGCTCGATAAATTAAACATCGATCAATTAATCGTCTTTCAATAAATTACCAAATATATAAATAATCCTCTTTTGTTCGATACGCGATCCCGCGAAGGCGTTTTTCTTAGCCCAACTCCAAAGCAAGCTGTGGACGCAGCGCGTCCGGATAAGGCTTGGGTCTGCAAGTGTAGCTCGCAGGTTGCCGACGCAAGTTCATCGAACTGACCTTGGCAGAGATACCGAGGTGATGGCATCTATGTTGCATTTTCCGCCCGTATTCTCACAATTTTGGCAGTAATGCTAGTTCAATGCGTGGATCAGATGTGATCGCGAGATGCAAATCCAGATTACGGAATTTATTGTTTTATTCGTAAACGAAATGCACGAGGATAACAAAACCGGTTTAGAGGCATTTGTCATTTTATGAGCACAAAAGGATCCGGAGGCCTTGAGGGCTCTGTTATTATCCATCGTGTAATAGAGGATGATAATATTTAATAATATATTAGAAAAAGCCAGCACCTTCTCGTTGGATTCTTTCTAACACCTAAAATACTCTGCTGCAATTCTTTAATGTTTCTCCTCTCCTGCACAACCACTAATGTCAATAGCGGGTGTAATAGCAGTTCACTCAGTGGTTGAATTACTTGACTAGTACTAAATAACTTACTACTATCTATTATAACTTAACTTAAAAACTCACTTTTATAACTTACTACTTACTAATTCCAGGATAAGTTCCAGATAGAAGAAAAGTTTGGCTTCATATCGAACGAAGTTTTTCAAAAGGAACATTTGGTCGGCTGTCATTTAACACAGGTTGATCTCAAATTTCGGGCGATTAAAAAAAACAGCCATCAGTGTGTGAACAATCCTTTCAATTGTTGTGAGAAATGCTAGACTGTCAAACTATATTCCTTCAAAAATATATTTAGTCTTGAAACAAAACTTGGCGTTCAATACACAATACATTCTGGAAAGCTATACCAATTTCCGAACGCTATATTACGAATTAAAACGAAAATGCCCTTAATGGACCCTTAGTTTGTTCGTAGGTTTTCGTTGAGACAATCTTGACAAGTTTGCTTGTACTCGTAATATCAACAACGTCTCTTGGGAAGAATTTGCACTTTTCTGGCTTTTGCCTGAGCATCTCCAGATCTTCTGCGTAATACTCATTCGTTCCTTGAAAAACAAAGGCTATTCCATGGCCCTTATCTGATGGCGAAGCGTTCAGTCGTAGCATCTTTCCAGTTCACTCGACCAACTTTATAGAAATCTCTTTTGCTCATCGGGCGGGAAAAAATGTATCCTAACAGCAGGTATTTAAAAAATAATATTGAAATGGTATTATTTTTGAACAAATTTTTTGTCCTTTCTGCATCTTAGTTTTGTGTTCGTGTCTATAAATGACGAGGATTTTGCTATTCAAAAACGTTGAGGCTTTAAAGTTACCAATATTCATCTGCCAATCATGATTCGTCATAAATTTCATGAAAATACGTAATTAATTTGATAAAGATTCCCGTCCATATTATTAACAATTTTGTATTCTTCAAAGACACATTTCTTAAATTTCGCTCGGCGGCGATCTCCATTAGTAAACATCTAAGTAAAATGTTATGTTATGTTATGTTATGTTATGTTATGTTATGTTATGTTATGTTATGTTATGTTATGTTATGTTATGTTATGTTATGTTATGTTATGAGAAAGATCTGAGAAGTGTGTTCCACAGTTGGACTTAGAATTAAATTAAAACTAATAAAATAATATCGAATAATCAATACACATATATGTTCAGTCTTAAAATGCCTAGCAAATTACGGAACAGGCAATAAGTCCAGCAGCTATCTCAATCAATCGTCAGTTATGGAAAGATCGGGTTCAAAAGGCCGGATCCCTTGTGAATCAAATCACGGAAAATTCAAGAATCGGCAACAGGCCATGGGCCTATTTCTTCAGTGCCGACATTTCTATTCTATTCTATTCATAATTTTTTTCACTTTTGTAACGAATTACCTGTCACATTGTCTGAACTGTATAAGGGCACTTCCCTTAGCTCTACATTAGCAATTATTCGAAGGAATGAAACACTTTCTTTGCATTTTCTTTGGTACAAATGTATTTTCATTGGGCAACAATAAATAAATGATTAAAAATAACTCAATCTAGAACAAAAATATTTTTATTCTTGCCATAACAGCGAATGACAGAATTTCGTTAGAAATAATGTAAGTTCTGAATATCAAGCAATACAGAAATCCGCAATACAGTCCACGTAACCGAGTTTGTGTACTGTATACTGTGTACTGTACAGTGCTTCAGTGAGTTTTTGTCTCAATTGAATTTGAGTCACAACCTATAGTGGACCACGGCCGGAAGATGACAAGCATTTTTTATAAAAGTTTCCAGATTAATTTTTGTGTTAATTATGAAAATAACAATTCAATGCCCTGTGTTTAGATGAGGCCTTATTTATTTTAAAAAATGCCTCTTCTCATCAACACAATACACTAAAAACTATCATAAATAGAAGTAAATTGATCTTTTTAGTGTTTCGAGTCTAGCAATCAGATCTGCGAGAGCTGCAGTTTCATCTTAATAGAAGCTGAGAAGAACCCGCCACTGATTGAAAACTCTTATTTTTAGTATAAATAGAAATATTCGATTAATTCTTCTACGTTGAAAATTAACTTCGTATTTTCCATCGTGGAAGCCATAATCGCTACTTCATTCAACAGTCGTTCTAAAGAACGCACTCTCGGTCGCTTGGAGGACAATCATTTCCCTATTGATCCTCTTTTGTTTAACTATTTCCACTGATTTTCATTGAGATTTTCTACTTATCTGATAATCTCAACTTTTAATCACATGAAAAGTATTGTCAAAGCTTCCAAGCTGTTTTACACCTCCGAGAAGTTCACTCAAGTCGCTGTAGAAAGAAGGGCACTATAGAGTTCTCCACTCCACAGTCAACGATATGCCGTCCTCTACCTCTGACACAGAAGTCTGCACACATGCCGCCATCGAAGTGATCGTGGTACATCTCCTTGCAGTACTGGCAGTTCTTTATGCATATTGAAACTTTCTTTGACACTGCCGCAGCACCAGGAATCAAAAGGCTAAATATCAACGCCAGCGCAATCAAAGCTATTGTTAAGGTGAACCATCCTTTACCTATCCTCCGAGTGGAGTACAGGCCTTTTAGCTTCCGACTTGCAGGAAGTGCTTCGAAATTCTGACTAGAAGACATTTCTCCCTCGTGTGTTTGACTGGAGCGCATTGTTCTTCTTTGGCTGAGACTGGACAATTTATCTGCTGGTCTGTACAAGGAGCACAAATCTCCTGTTCTATGACTGCAACATGATGCTCCTTCATATGCTTGACTGGAGCCAAGTTCTCCATTTAGTCTTTGACTGGAGCACACTTCTCCTCCTGGTCTCCGTCGTTGGTCATTTGTAGTGGCTGGTGACCATCGTAGCGAAGACATTTTCAGCATCTGAAAAAATATATATTTACATTTATTTCGTAAATGTGTGAACACATAATAATTATTTGTACTCATTCATGCATGTTAACATGCATCTTAATGCATGTTTATTCACATCCTTTATATATCATGCTTTTACCGAGAATATTACGTTGTATATCAAACACATACGGTAAGGTAACATTATTTTAGTTTGCCTTTCAATAGCTTCACTCGGTACATTTTCTGTAAATATCAAAAGAAAACTATATCCATACGTAATTTTAGTTGGCTACATGTGAATTCTTCTCAATTTGAACCTTCCTCGGAATTTAATTTTGTAAATAACATATTCAGGCCAATGCAATGATCTTATAACTTGTTAATCTTGATAATTATTTATTTTTTTAAACTGCCCGCTTTCTACATGAAAATCATTCCACAAAAGTTGAAAGAGTTGAATCTGCAAACTAGTTTGAAAGAAACAAAATATTATTGCAGCGATCAGAATATAACTTATTACTTATATGAAAATTTCATAATTACGTATATTGAATTACAAGTAACAAAAACGACAGGTACTACCATGCATGGTTGAATTGTTGAATTATATTTATTCAACCATGCTATCATGCTCATCGCCAAGCTCGTAGGTACAGAATTACACGTGTGAGCGTCAGCAACCATCGGTAGCTGAATTTGACACGACCGAGAATATTTTCAGTGTACCTAGCTACTTAGCTCTTCGGCAGGCCTCCATTATATAGGAAATTTTGATTAAGAATTTGACAGGTCATTCGTCAAGTGCACTACCGCGGGCTCATAATGAAATCTTTTAGGTAAATAGACGGAAATTAATTGGCCGGCGATGGGCCGTCGAAGGTTGCAAAATCAGCTCCGATAATTTAAGAAATTCCCGCGATGCAGAAGCTGCTGTGGAAATTGGACAAGTAATTGACGTTTAATTGGACCGTTTCACGTTCAGTATCAACATTTTCAGGCGTCATGTTTAGCACAATTATTATTGCTATTCATTTTCCTCATTGCGATTTCAGCATCATGGAAACAATAATGTCGGATGATGGCTAATGTATATATGAATAGGTAATGATTCAGTATGCCAAAGGTGATGAATTTATCTTTTTAAATTAAATGCATATTGCAAGCCAATCCTCATGATGCCCCAATACAGATGGCATGCGTTCATTTTTCGTGCTCATTTTTCGTGCAGGCGAATCTTTTTTCTCGTCAAACAAGTTCTTGAAATATTATGTACGAATAAGTTGTTGAATTAATCAGTCGAGGCACCGATTGGTTTAAAGAAGGCGTCTGAATTATCAGCAGGTCTCCTGTATGCATGTATGATGCTTAGCGTTCCATCATACAATATGACCAGCATCATACAATATGACCAGCATCATACATTATTCATGTAATACCAAATGTAAGCAGCGACTTTCGAGAAATTCGTCAACTCCTCACACCAACTTTGGGAGTCAGCATAAGTAACGATAAGATTATGTATATTCAACGCGGACTGGTAATATACATGGGCAAAAAAAATGCAAATAACCTATCTTAATTAAATAGTCCATTAGAATGCAAATAGACCTTAAGAATATGAAAAGCTGTTAAAATTAATTGATTTGGAATTTAAATTTTGTTCTATATAGGATGAGTGCGGTTGTGCTAGGGACGCCGACCGCTCCACACAACACGCGTGTCAAGAACTAAACACGAATCAGAAATTTTGAAACATGTCAGCTCAGCCAAATTTTTATTTATAAATGCAGTTACAATGAAAATTATTTATTGAATCACTTTTAAATATAGCCTTTCGCTTGAAGATATCTTAAAGAAGATTCTGTTAACAACTGCAACAAATTAAATATTGTACAGTTTGAATATGGTCGCAAAAAATAGGCTCTAAATTAATGCGATTATTAAAGCAATCTAAATTTGATTAATTTGTCAACCTAACTTAATAAATTAACTAAAATATATATTATTTAATCATACTTCTTAGATCTGCGAAACTCTAGTGATATATATTGATTTCCCTAATTAAGTATTATATAAAATAATTATCTAATCATTTGCCCAATCAAGAAATATGTTAATTAAATTGATATTTTGTCAATCAATCAAATCAACCGAAGTGCAACCTGCTTGTCAGAAGACGCGCGTGTACGCGGAAGTCTGTCATGAGCGCTCGAGTTGTTGGTCCAGCTGATGACGTCACTTGATAGTCAGGAAGAGGCGTGGTGCTAACTGTTCCCGGTAACTGTGACTTTACCAATAGCTGGATCAATTCCTATTACTGTATAACTGGTAAACTGGATCAACTGTTACGGTATAACTGGATTAACTGTTACTATATAACTGGTAAACTGGATCAACTGTTACGGTATAACTGGATTAACTGTTACTGTATCAATGGATCAACTGTTACTGTATAATGTATAACTGGATCAACGGTTACTGTATAACTGGATCAACTGTTACTGTATAACTGGATCAACTGTTACTGTATAACTGGATTAACTGTTACTGTATAACTGGATTAACTGTTACTGTATAACTGGATAAACTGTTACTGTATAACTGGATCAACTGTTACTGTATAACTGGATAAACTGTTACTGTATAACTGGATCAACTGTTACTGTATCAAGCAATTAATCAACTGTAATGCCAGGAGATTGACGGGAATTTTTCACACTCTTTGAATATTTGACGCGCTGAAAGTTTGATTATTTTTTCATACATGATACGTTAATAAGGGAGTTTTTTTAAGTATTTTATTTTGGCTCAGTGATATTTTCATCCGGTTATTTTTAAATCGTATACAGTTTAGTTTTTATTTTCGCTATTTTGTTAAACTCAAACGATTCGTGAAATTTGTCCATGAGTCAAACATTTTTTTTTTCTTTGAATAAATTCATTTCAGAACAAATAGAAAAACTGTCCGTCATCAACGCTATCAAACATTCCTTCACATTGTATGGGACAGAGCTATATTAATGTAAAATTTGAATAACAATCACCGGCCAGTGTCTTTCACCAAACATGTTTTTATTTTCGATACAATTTAGCGTGAAACACCTGATTAGTGACCGGCTATCTTACAGTCTTCAAAAAATACTATTTTTATATCTAATTTATTAAGCTGTATTAGTTTAGGGGACAAATAATTTACTATCAGTAAACCTGTTGTCGATAAGAATATTTTAAACTATTATCTTTGATAACTCAAAGTTAATAGTATAATATTAAGAGTTGGACACTCACAAGGAAGGAGCGGCTGGTCCGGGCTACGTTCAGCGACTGGTGAATGACGCTGAGTTCGCCGCTTGATAACTTCTTACGAGCGACCTTCAATTTTTTTTTAAACAGTGAGTTTTAAAGTTTCTAAGTTTAGGCTTGCACCCTTTATCGTTTGCAAGGGCTACAAGTCGCTAAGTTGAATGGTTTATTTTCTTCTTCAAATTTTAGCTCTTCCTTCATGCTCAACATGAACGTAACATGTTTTTTTTTCGGATGGGTTAACTAGGCAAGTTGAGGCTCAGAACCTGTACAACTTAAGGAAAAACTATGGAGAAAAATAGGCAAAGGGGATTTACCTTAACATGAGAACCACGGGCATGAGCACGTGATCGACGGCATGACAAGGAAGCAAGGGAGGAATTTAATGGCTTCACGAAATGATCGTGGCACGTGAGGTACGTGATCTACGAGCAGGACAAGGAAGAATGGAATGAATTTGATGGCTTAAAGAAATGATCGTAGCACGTGAGGTACGTGATCTACGAGCAGGACATGAAAGCAAGGGAGGAATTTGATGACCTGACGAAATGATCGTAGCACGTGAGATACGTGATCACTTCGCGGCGGAATAAAGCGGTCACGGGCTTTTTTTACCTTCCCCACGTACGACTATGTGAACTTTACACTAAGAAAAAATAATGGGCAATATTGTCAAAATACTGACACACTTTCTTACCCACAGCACTGAGCAGAGACCGCGGTGTCAGGTATTGTCAACTCAAGCAACTCAACAAATTGACAACAAAATTTTGTAATGCATTTAACGCTTCAAATTGAATTTATCAACCGAAAATACTACGCTGTTAACGGTAATGAAAAAAAGTGTTTTTAACTTTTTTTTTGTAGATAGATGAAAAATACGGCGCCAGCACGCCTTATAGAATTTTCATGAACGCAGGTTGTCGTAATGAACGCAGGTTGTCGTAATGAACGCAGGTTGTCGTTATGAACGCAGGTTGTCGTTATGAACGCAGGTTGTCGTTATGAATGCAGGTCGTTGTTATGAATACAGGTCGTTGTTATGAATGCAGGTCGTAATAATTATCGATACTGCCGCAGCTACCGCTTTAAGGGATGAGAGTGCATTTTATGCTCGAAAACATGTAAGAAGCTTGATTTCTGTTCCATACGAATCTGATTAACAAATTTATGAGTATGTTGCCTACTTGATCGCAATGCTATGGTTAGCTAATTGTAAAATAGGGTTTTCAATCAAATTAAAATTGACCAAGAAGTTCAACAGGATTTATGGGACCTTAGCTAACTTTTTAATAATGCAAAAAAAATGCAATCATCAACTCTGTTGCCTAGTTGTCAACTCTGTTGAATAGTTTTTGCAGCAGTGATATCGTTCGGTAGGGTACGAACCTTTTCGTAAAAACATAAATTAATGAAACTAATATTATTGTAATCAAGAACCTTGGTTGAAAAGTTAACAACAATCAGATTTCGGTAACAAAAAAATCATTTTTTACTTGTTTTCTCACTGTTCATTATTCTGATGTCGAATGTTCCGGTAGCATATTTAATCTAATATCTAAAATTTTATTATTTTTTTTCATATCCAATCACTTTTATCGCACAATTTCACAAAATTTCACGGTTAAGCTCTTCACTTTCTTCTTATTGACCTTGTATGGAACGGCATTATATAATGAGCATAATTATTTATTATATCATAATTGAACGCACAGAATACTTCACTGGTGTTTTTCGTGCATGGCCGCTGCTGCCGATGAAAGGTTAAATGAAGAAAGAGGCTCGGGGATTGTCCCCGCGCTGCGTCAATCCCCGTGTATTTTCTTACGGCAGATTATTAAAGGAACGGATGAGAATAACTCAAGGTGCAGCCATTATTTCTGTCTACTGTCTATTCCTGTCATTATTGTCTCTATTCTTGTCGTTATAGGAGACAGCCTATACTCACGACTGCAGTTTACGGGGAACAATCTATGTCCAACATGCGCTGCGTCAATCCCCGTGTATTTTCTTACGGCAGATTATTAAAGGAACGGATGAGAATAACTCAAGGTGCAGCCATTATTTCTGTCTACGGTCGATTGTCTATTCCTGTCATTATTGTCTCTATTCTTGTCGTTATAGGAGACAGCCTATACTCACGACTGCAGTTTACGGGGAACAATCTATGTCCAACATTCCTCTCTGTAGCGGAAGTCTATTTACGACAGTTCATGAACAGTCAATACGTACACCATCCTTAATTGTCTGTAGCGGCGAGTTTATGTCCACCATTGCTGCCTGTCGTGACCAGTTCAAGCTCTGCGGTCCATGGTGGCCATGTTTTATGGTAGAATAAAAATGTTCTTCCACTGCCTGATGGCACCGCGATTTTGCGACGACCGGCAATACTTATTTTTCTCAAAGTCTTCCACCTAAACGCCGGTCATTTCCACAAATTCGACTGCTGACACTGGCGGTAAACCGCATTTTAATTCCAAGAACATGTGGTTTTAGATCGTGCGACGCACGCCGATTACATACGCCCACCGGTACGTGAAATTTAACAAAATAAATACTCCAAATTTCAGGAATCACAAACATTTCTAGCGCTTAACAAAGTCGTATAATGGACAATGGGAAGTCAAGGGGCTTGGGTTTCTTAGTCAACGCAGCAAACAGAAGATATAAAACCTGCATATAACTGCTGGTCTCTCGCACCATTTGACGCAGGGTAGCGGGTTCTTCACCATTTAATATAAGGTAATTATTAGTGATATTAGCAGTCGAGATGGCCAAGATTTCAAGCACTAGAGTAGACCAAAATGGGTCCATTTGTGATCTAAGGAGACGAAATATGCTACAGTTCAGGTATTAAAGTGAACTAAAATAAGTGAATTTGTAATGTCTGGATACGAGATATGCTACATTTTAGGTAGTAGAGTGCACCAAAATGGATCCATTTGAATTATTAAGACCGAGTATGGGCACGTTTCCAGCATTGGTATGTAATAATTTTTACTATCGGGAGTGAAGAAGTGTCAGATATTTAAAATGCCAAAGTTCACTATAGTGATGGGGACAATAAGGCTGGTATTATTAATAAGTATATATATATACTGTTTTTCAAGTACTAGAGTGCACTATAATAGGATGTGATCTTTTGCACTATGAAGCGTTAAGATGTGCACCATTTCTAGTCCTAGAGGCTACTAGACTCAGATCATTTGCACTATTTGGCGCAATAATGTGTAACATATCTAGTACTGTAGTGCCCCAGAATGTAATCATTTGCACACTCGTGCAGCGCACGTTGACTGCGGCACTGTGGCACGAATGGCCTCGACATAGCGGCACTCCATACATTAATTCAGCCCTAAAAACTGGACCATCTCTCGATCTAGAAACTATACGGGAATTATCATTCGTTTTTGCTTGCGGAATAGCATTTACAGGATTAATATGCATATAAAAAGTGTAGTCATTAAATTATTAATGAGGGAGTTTTGCGTATGTTGCTTCGCAGTAGCGTTCCTATAGCGATGGTGGAATTTAGTGGAGTTATTAAAATCCAGATATTTTAGTTTATATATTTTAGTTTATATGCATAAAAATTTTCGGTATGCTATAGTTAACATTTTATATTATAGAAAATTAATGCTCTTGTTAATTGAAAATCATAGCATGTTAAAAACAATAGTAATTGTTAATCAAGATAGATAAAAACGGTTCTTTTGCATGCAAAGGTTTTTGTGATAGTAAATATCATGATTGATAGTATGTTCCGTTCATTATATTTACATTTATTATTTAAAAAAGAGAAGTTCAAACATAATAGAATAAACAGTATGGTAACATGGGGCAACGGGACCACTGCGGGTAACTCACTACAGTTCGCACGTTTAAAAGTAAATATTTGAAATTGACTTTGCTGTTCGGAAATTCCTGAGGGGCGGCAAATGACGACTTCGCTCACTCCTGTCCAGAACTTAGGCCAGTTCTTAACTTGTGCGCTCAGTGGAAGAACTGACCCGAGCTACAGAAGGAAATTTAATTTTAGTTGGTTTTCTATTTCATTAATTTTACTTTATTATGGAAATTAGGTGAAATAACAATTAAAAGTTCATGCTTTCGTCCTATAGTGCGTTTAATTTGGTGGTAAAACATGTGTGGAGGGACATGTGAGGCAGGATAAGCTTGTCCTAATGAAATTATAAGTTCATGAAATTAGTTGCCGGAGGTGCATAGGTTACAATATTTGAATCCCGTCTGTGGAAGCTTACACAACAGCGGTGTAATGGCCACTCCTCAAAATTCATGGGTAAAATTTCGTTGAAAAATTATGCGAATCCAAAAATTGGACTAATCTGAAGAAGCAAAAAAAATTAACAAAAGAGTGGTTAAAAGTATTTGAAAATACTAGAAAAATAATACTGAAAATGTTGGAAAGATCTAAAAACAAAAAAGTGATCAATTCGTTTTTTTCAACACAATTACCTATGTTAAAATAATCGGAAAGAATAATCAACAATCACTGGATAAAATTATTTAACAACGAAAGGAAATATACTAGGAAAAAAATTATTCAGCAAAACGCTTTCAAATATTAAGTCTGATCAAAATACGATCATAAACTTCTGAAGAACTAGAGCTCAACCCACTACTTGCGTAACCGAACTTGGTCAAGTTCGTAGCGATCTTGTAACGAAGGTCAGAACGGACGAAAAAAACTTTGACGGAGTCCATGTTAATTTTTGTGTTTCCATGGACGTCACATAATTTTTGCCTTTTCGGGTAAAATTAAATCGTCTTTCACTGATTGAGTTTGTTCTCACGTCACAGTTTAAGTTCTTCACTTACATGTTGTAGTTGCGTAAACGCGTACATGTGAAGTAAGTGTGCAAAGATTCATCGAGAAAAATTGTCTTCACGAGTAATTTCAAGTTAGTTAATCAATGTTATTCGATTTTAAATTTTTTAATTAGAATTGTCTCAGGGTATGAGCTCATAGGCAAATCAATTTAGAATTCAAAG